CTGTAGTCCCAGCTACTTGGGAGGTTGAGGCAGAAGAATCATTTGAACCTGGAAGGCAGAGGTTACCGTGGGCTGTGATCATCCCACGAACTTCAGCTTGGGCAAAAGAGTGAGACTCTGTCTCAAAAAAAAAAGTAGGTGATGGGCAGGAGGTGGTCTCGGCCACCTTTTGACTGTGTGACCTCAGGCAAGGGCAATTAGGAGATAAAAGCAGGCCTTTATTATTTATAATTCTTCACTACAATGATACATTGAATCCTCATCACAGCACTAAGTTGATGCTATTACCACCATTCTATAGATAAGAAAATTGATGCACAGAGAGGTTAAGTAACCTGCCCAACGATGCACAGCTAAAACATAGCCGAGCCAGGACTCAAAGCTTCCACATTCTAGGGCCCCTTGGTAATGACCAGAGAAGCCCATGATTAACCCTTTCTTCCATGGGGCCCTGCCCCAGTCGTGAACAGCTTGTACTTGTCCCAAGCCCAGTGGAACTTTCCAATCCAACTACATGTTTAGACCCAGAGAACCCTCTCATTTGGCTCAAATGAAGATGTTCAACAGAGGGATCATGACACCTAGCTCCGCCCCACACCCCACCCAGCCCAGCCCCAGGGGGCAGTGGTCACCCAGCACCTGGGCAAGCATAGCCTTGTCTTGATGGAACCTCATTGGAATTCACTGGGCTTTTCCACTGGGATTGGGACTCCCTGTTGACAAGTTGGGACACCCTCTCTGACTTAGCCTATGTCCAAGAGGCAGGGCAGGGGGGTGGCTTCAGACCCTGGTATTCTCATTCTTTTTTTTTTTTTTTTTTTTGAAAGGGAGTCTTACCAAATGCCCAGGCTGGAGTTTGGTACAATCTGGGCTCACTGCAACCTCTGCCTCCCAGGTTCAAGCGATTCTCCTGCCTCAGCCTCTTGAGTAGCTGGGACTACAGGCATGTACCACCATGCCTGACTAATTTTTGTATTTTTAGTAGAGACGGGGTTTTACCATGTTGGTCAGGCTGGTCTTGAACTCCTGACCTCATGATCTGCCCACTTCCACCTCCCAAAGTCCTGGGATTACAGGTGTGAGCCACCATGCCATTTTTTTTTTTTTTTTTTTTTTTTTTAGAGGGAGTCTTGCTTTGACGCCCAGACTGGAGTGCAGTGGTGCAATCTTGGCTCTCTTCAACTTCAGCCTCCCAGGTTCAAGGGCTTCTCCTGCTTCAGCCTCCCAAGTAGCTGGGACTACAGGCACACGCCACCACACCCGGCTAATTTTTGTATTTTTTTTTTTTTGTAGAAACAGGGTTTCACCGTATCAGCCAAGCTGGTCTCGAACATCTGGCCACAAATGACTCTCAGCCTTCCAAAGTTCTTGGATTACAGGCATGAGCCACCGTGCCAGACCATCACCTCCTTTCTGCAAGTTCATTCTCCTTTCTCATCCTTACCAGGAAAATGCCAACAGGTGACCCAGAAACACCATCCCAGTCCCAGGCCCCTGCATGACTGGGCACATATTCTGAAGACCACCGTCAGGCTAGACTGTAAGAGCCTAATCTAGATCAGAGATCTCCATCCTCCAGAACCTGTACAGTGCTCCACCCTCTGCCCATAACGAGGGTCCTCAGGCTGGGACCTCTGATTCCCTAGTATCAGAGGCAGAGCCACCTCTTACCTGCCTTCGAGGGCAGGAAGGAGGGCAGAGTTCCAGGGTGGGCGGAGGCAGGCAGGGTGGGGTTGCCGGGTCAGTGACAGTCCTCTTTCCCTCTCTGGAATACAGCAGTCCTGGGGCCTCCCTGAGGTGATTTACCCGACAATGACAACCTTTAACGTCCGCCCTGTTATAATCTCCTTTATCTTAATACAATCTCTCCAGAGTCCCAACCATGATTTTCAATGGAGAGTTTTTTTATTATTATTACGACTTGATACTGTGATTGCCGTGGAACTCGCAGTCTTTGTGGAGGGGAAATTAATAAGTTTTTCTTAAGTATTCTGCACAGGCGCTGCATACTGATGAAGCCGGACGGCTGCCCCATGGTGGGAGTCAATTATCAATCTGGCCCCCTTCTGGCCTTCAGAGACCCAACAGTTCTCCCGTGCGGGGCAGCGGTCATTAGGTGCTGGGTCCCAGTGCCTCCAGGAAGTGCCAGGCCACCCCTGAGAGGTCAGGGATCTGCCCTCTCCATTCTCAGCTTGTCTCCGGGCAGGAACTGTCTATGTTGAATCCCAGAACCAGAAGAGACCTTAGTTTTCAGCTCATCAAACACCTCTGGGCATTTGTACACATTAATCACTCTACCTGGAACACTTGTCATTTTGCCTGGCTAATTCCTCATATCCTTCGGGTTCCAGGTTAGATGCCATCTCCCCAGGAAGCCTTCCTGTCCCACCAGGTAGAGGTTAAGCACATCCTTTTTTCTTCTTCTTCTTTTTTGGAGAAAGAGTCTTGCTCTGTCGCCCAGGCTGGAGTGCAATGGCACGATCTCTGCTCACCGCAACCTCCGCCCCTGGGGTTCAAGCACTTCTCCCACCTCAGCCTCCCTAGTAGCTGGGACTACAGGCATGCACCACCATGCCTGGCTAATTTTTTGTATTTTTAGTAGAGACGGGGCTTTCACCATGTTGGCCAGGCTGGTCTCAAACTCCTGACCTCATGATCTGCCTGCCTCAGCCTCCCAAAATGATGGACTACACATGCCTGGCCAAGTACATCATTTTTTGCACCTGGAGTCTCCCAGGCTTATACCCATTGTAGAATTTATTTAGGTATTTTTTGGTTTGTTTGTTTGTTTTTGAGACAAGGTCTCACTCCGTCACCAGGGTTGGAATATAGTGACATGATCATAACTCACTGCAACCTTGAACTCCTAGACTCAAGGGATCCTCCTGTCCTTCCCCTCTCACGTTACAGGAGGAGGAACTGAGGCCAAGCAAGATGCGACCAGCCTCAGTCACAGACATCTAATGGCAAGGCGGGAGCTGTGGCTCCTAGTGTGACATCCAGGTTCTCTGACTGGCTTCCCTTCCAAGATGTGTTTTGGCCTTCCGTCTGGCTGCGGTCCCTCTCTCTGAATTGTCCTTGTCCTGTCCTAATTGGGCTGAAGGACTGTCAGGTGACATCTCTTACCTGCACAGGGAGAGCAAGTGAAGACACAGCCTACCCCACTCAATCCTGCCCTGACCCGGACCCAGGCGTGCCAGCACGGGTGAGAGGAGGGCTCCCCCTGGGCTTCCTGCCAGCTGGCTGCTGCCTACTGGGGTAAGCATGGCAGTGAATGAGCCAGCAAAACACACCGCCCTGGCAATGAAGCAGTCCCCGTGCCAGGAGGGACGAGAGGGCCTGGAGATGGCCCAGGCTGGGCCCAGCAGGTGAAACAAAGTTCTTAGATTGCCCCTGAGAAGAAGCCCCTCCCCCAGGCACCCCACACAACTCCATTGATGGAGAGCAGAGTATGTGCAAAGGGAGAGTCAGGTTAACCTCGGGAGAAGACCGCCAGGCATGAGGAAGTGCTGCCTTCCCTGGGGGCACCAGGAAAATGACAGCAGTCAAGGAAGCTTAAGGGGGAGGCTTGAAGCCATTTCCTAGAAGTCAAGACCCAGCTTCTTTGGCTGCTGGGGAAGGAGCGTGCAGGTCTTGGCAGGGCACAGTGGCTCACGCCTGTCCCAGCGCTTCGGGAGGCCAAGGCAGGCGGATCACCGGTGGTCAGGAGTTTGAGACCAGCCTGGCCAACATGGTGAAACCCATCTCTACTAAAAATGCAAAAATTAGCCGGATGTGGTGGCGCTCACCTGTAGTCCTAGCTATTTGGGAGGCTGAGATGGGAGAATTGCTTGAACCCGGGAGGCTGAGGTTGCAGTGAGCTGAGATTGTGCCACTGCACTCCAGCCTGGGCGACACAGCAAGACTCAGTCAGTCACACACACACACACACACACACACACACACACACACACACACACACAGAAGCATGCTGGTCTTGATATCCCTGCTCCAGCTAACATAACAATGGATTCAGATAATTGGCCCTCAACTCTGTGCGGTATGATCTTACATATCTCTGGTTGTAGGATGAAGACACTAGGTCACCTGCACCCTGTAGACATTGCCTGGAAGGGGAGCTGGCAAGGGAGACACATGAGAATTTGGGGAGAAAATCACTAGCTCCAAAGCCATCCTGCTATAAGGACGGAGGCACACAGAGTGGAGACCTGACTCTTTCATTCCTTCCTCCATTCAACAAACAGAGCACCTGGGAAGGGCCCTGTCCCACTCCAGAGCTGGAAGCTGGCCGTGAAACAGGAAGCCACATAAAATGACTTCAGCTAGAGGTGAGTGCCACTTGGGGATGAAGTGGGGTTTGTGGGGAGGGATGAGGGGAACTAGAGATCAGGGGCTCTCTCTGCCCCATGCAGAGGTGACTTGGGGGATGAGAAGGTCCACCTCTCCTGACCACCGTGGCCCCACAGCTCCCCAGCAGTGGGGATGGATGAGAGAGCTCCTTCCTTCACCACCAGGCCAGGGACAGTAGGCAGGCTCCAGACAGACATGGGAATGAGCAGGCCAGATGTCTGAGCTCAAGGGAGACTGGGCCACTATGGGGAGCCTGCAGGAGCTTGGGGGGCACCTATGCAGGAAAAGGGGAAGGATCAGACTGTGGGGCTGGGCTGTGACAACAGAGTGATGACACTTTACTCTTTCTAAGTAAATAAAACACATTAATCACTGTAATTAGCAGAGCTGCCCAGCAGGCCTTTGGTCTGGCTATTAAAACATTGGCACAGGCTCCTGCCATGGCCTGGGTGATCTCCCACAGCTGGCTGGTGCAGGAGGGCTTGGGGCTAGCTGTCAGGCTCAGCAGAAGGATGGAGGATGGGGCCCAGGTCCTGTGGGCAGGGCAGGGGCCTTCCACATGTCTGCCTCCAGCCTCAAGACGTCTTTGGATCATCTGAGTGGCCACATTCCCTAGCATGTGAGTGCCACGAGGCATGGAGCTTGCTCACCTTGCTCACCCACACAGCTAGTCCAGAATCCAGAAGAGTGCTTGGTCACAGGAGTGCTGGAAAAGTGAAGAAAGAAAGTGGGGGGAGGGGAGGGGAGGGGACGAGGGGCAGTGGGGAGGGAGGGAGGAAGGAAGGAAGGAAGGCAGGCAGGAAGGAAGGAGAGAGAAGGAAGGAAGGAAGGAAGGGAGGGAGGGAGGGAGGGAGGAAGGAAGGTAGGTAGGTCAGGCTAATGCTCTCTCACCTCCAGGCATTTGTAGAAACTGATCACTCTGCCTGGAACACTTGACTTTGCCTGGCTAATTCCTCCGCTCTCCGGTTAGATGCCATCCCCCCAGGAAGCTTTCCAGTCCCCCCAGGTAGAAGTTAAGAACATCTTCTTCTGCACCTGGAGTCTCCCAGACTTATAACTGTTGTAGAATTTATTGAGGTGTGTGTTTTGTTTTGTTTCTCAGTTTGTTTGTTGTTTGGGTTTTTTTTGAGACGGAGTCTCACTCCATCGCCAAGGCTGGAGTGCAGTGGCGTGACCTCTGTTCACTGCAACCTCCGCCTCCCAGGTTCAAGTGATTCTCCTGCTTCAGCCTCCCGAGTAGCTGTGATTACAGGTGTGTACCACCACACCAGGCTCATTTTTCATATTTTTTAGTAGAGACGGGTTTCACCATGTTGGCCAGGCCAGTCTCAAACTCCTGACCTCAACTGATCTACCCACCTCAGTCTCCTAAAGTTCTGGGATTACAGGTGTGAGCCACCACACCTGGCCTTGTTTTGTTTTTTGAGGCAGGATCTCACTTCATCACCCAGGCTGGAGTGCAGTGGCACCATCATACTCACCGCAAACTTAAACTCCTGGGCTCAAGTGATCCTCCTGCCTCTGCCTCCTGACTAACCAGGACTACAGATGTGCACCACCATGCCTGGCTAATTTTTAAATTTTTGTAGTTATGGGGTCTTGCTATGTTGTCCAGGTTGGTCTTGAACTCCCAATGCTTGACATATAGGAGGTACTCGGTGAAGATTCGTCAAATGAGAGAGGCAGTAAATCAATAACTAAGGAGCAGGAAGCCAGCTGCCGGCCTGCTGTGAGTGACACCTGCTGTGCTCTGACCTCCAGTGGGCTGTGAGCTGCAGGCGTGGGCAGAGGAGGGAAGGTGGGTCCTGAGCCCATGCCCCTGAATGCCAAGGGTCCTCTTTCAGGCACCTTGAATTTCCTGGCATCTCTTCCTTAATAATGAAGATGCTGATCTCACAAACCAGAGCGTCCTGGGTCTTTAGGGAGTAGAGGGGAGCTGTCACAACAGCTCTGCCTCTGAACGCCTCTTGGCAGAGCCTCCCCAGGGCGGGTCCCTCTGCCAGGGTTCCAGCCCTTCAGCATCCCAGAAGGCATATATGGCCACGCTGGGGCTCCCTCTAGTGGCAGACAGGCCCCGAGGGTCTGCTCCGGGTTGACCTCGTGCCCACAGTGGGCAGGCAGGTGTCAGGGATGACGAAGTGACCTCAGGGACCTGGTGCAGGGGAGGCTGTAGGAAGGCTTGCTGGGTCTCTAGGGGCGGGTGGCCAGGTATCAGGAGGTGGAAACTGTCCCTGGGCCTGTGAGAGGCAGCATGGGGCAGGTACTCTGCTTGGGGAATGAATGCCTCTGTGACTCAGGGCACTGCGGACTTCATGCACAAGTGGGTGAGCATCTTTCTGTTTCTTCAACACTCAGTTGCTTCACCAATTAAATGGGATAATGACAGCTACCTGGCAGGTGTGGGGCTGAAATGAGATGAAGTGGGTGAAGCTCCTGGCATATAACAAATTCTTTGGGTACCCAACCAGCCCTCCCCACCAACCCATCAACACGGGGACCAGAGCCCCCACTCCATCCCTGCTCTCTGACTTGGCTTCCCCCCGACACGCCCTCATCCCCTCATCTTTCCTCTTCCCAAAACTGAAAGTCACAATCACATTGATGTTGGGTAAACAGCCCTGACCCTTGACCCTTCTCTCTGAGCAGGACCAAGTGGAATTTTCACCTGTGATAAGTCAATGGCTGAACCCTTCTGGGAAACCCTGTCTCCCCCAACCCCCCAATTCTCGGAGTATTGAGGCCCTCCTAATGCCGGTGGGAAAGTTATTAGGGAGGAATAAAGAAATAAGGAAATGGGGCTGGGCACGGTGGCTCACACCTGTAATCCCAGCACTTTGGGAGGCCGAGGCGGGTGGATCACCTGATGTCGGGAGTTCGAGACCACCCTGACCAACATGGTGAAATCCCGTCTCTACTAAAAATACAAAATTAGCCAGGCATGGTGGCGCATGCCTGTAATCCTAGCTACTCAGGAGACTGAGGCAGGAGAATTGCTTGAACCCGGGAGGCAGAGGTTGTGGTCAGCTGAGATTGCGCCATTTGCACTCCAGCCTAGGCAACAAGAGTGAAACTCCGACTCAAAAAAATAAAATGAAATAAATAAGGAAAGGACTGTGATTTTCCCAGGACCCCAAAGGTGGGTGGATGTCAGCTATTTCTGCAGCCCCGCCCTCCTATTTCCTGAGAAACCACCCCCATTTGTGTGGTCCTAGTGAGGCTGTCAGGCAAGCACCCTGTCTCTCCAAAAGGGTGGGCATCTGTCTCAGCGGGGCCAATCACAGGGTGCACTCGTTCCTTTGGTAACAGTGATTGGTCTAAGTGTGCACACGTGACCCAAGCAAAGCCAATCCCATCCTTGAGCAGAATGTAAGTGGGGGAGGACAGGGAGTTTTGCAAGCAGTACTCAGTAGGTAGGGGCTCCATAAATAGGCGCTGATTAACCAGGTGAGTCTGATGGAGTTGCCGAGTGAGGGATGAGAGTGCTAGTGTGGGGCTGGCCTTGGTGGCCAGGAGAAGGGGCAGGGTTATCATTAGCTTACACAGCATCTTATGTGTATTAGCCATAGGCGACTCCTCCAGGCAGATGAATTAGGAGAAGTGCCCCTCTGGGGCAATGCTGGACACAGAGCTTTGCAAGCAGGGCATTGAATGTATTCCAGCTCCCGCCTGGCCCTTTGCTGAGGCTTTTGAGCAGTACGCAGACTAGCAACATCCATGGCCCCCACCTTCCCTTCCAAAGACAGAAGAGAGAACTGCAGGTTTGTGAGTCCAAGAGATAGACAGACAGATAGAGCCCTCATGGCGTCACTCAATCCCCATATCCAGGCCTGGGCTTCCTATCATATGAGCCAATACATTCCCTTCTCTGCTAAGCTACTAACATTGGGTTTTTATAGCTTACCACTGACATGTCCTGATCCAGGTACACAGCCAAGTCTTGACCTTACAGTTCCTGAGACTTTTCATGGTTGTGAAGAACCAATAATAACTTTATGGTTTACAGGAACTGGGCTCAAATCCAAAGAATGGGACCTCATTTCTAGTTCTGCCACATAGTCCCTGGAGCCTGCTGGCTTGGAATTGAATTCCAGATCCACCATCTACAGCCCCTGTAACCTGGGCATGTACTTAATCCCAGTGGGCCTTTCCCTCACCTGCAAAATGAGGGTAATAGCAGTGCTGACTTCATTGGTTGTTGGGAGAATTAAATGAGTTAACACGTGTGATGTTGAGTAGTACCTGGTCCACAGCAAGTTATTGTACGTTGGAAACAGATGCTCGGTGCCGCAAAGAAAAATCAGCACTGAGACAAAGGATCTCTCAGCAAAGCAACTTTTCCTTTTTTACTTCCTGCACTGCAAGAAGGGTACCCTCACTAGCCATCTTGCCATGAGTGTACAATGAACACAGGAAAGCGAACATATTTATTATCCCTTATGCACTTGGGGTCGTCCTAACTGCTGTGTCTGTTCTCTGTTGGTTGGAGCCAGAACTCATAATCTAAACTGAAACCCGATTGGCTGACAACTTAAAACTTTACTGGGGCCGGGCGCGGTGGCTCAAGCCTGTAATCCCAGCAGTTTGGGAGGCCAAGGCGGGTGGATCACGAGGTCAAGAGATCGAGACCATCCTGGTCAACATGGTGAAACCCCGTCTCTACTAAAAATACAAAAAACTAGCTGGGCATGGTGGTGCGTGCCTGTAATCCCAGCTACTCGGGAGGCTGAGGCAGGAGAATTGCCTGAACCCAGGGGGCAGAGGTTGCGGTGAGCCGAGATTGCGCCATTGCACTCCAGCCTGGGTAATGAGAGTGAAACTACATCTCAAAAAAAAAAAAAAAAACTTTACTAAACAGGTAAAAGCAATGGCGAGCTGGGACATGCCTGTGAGCACACCCAGCACAGATATCTTGGTTAAAGTATAAGGATATACAATGTACTATGTGTCTGTAAGCATGGCATGTCTAACAGCTACATAGGATAGGGCTTAACAAAGAGCTATTAGCACATTTATAATTCATTCTTTAATAAGAAAGGAAACTTTAAAGGGGAACTTTTCTACTCCCCACAATGCAGTAAGTAAATACCCACTTGGAGTGTTATTAACCATGTACTCTTGAAGGAACCACTTTCTTCCTCTGTCAAATGGGAATAAGAATTCCAAATGCAGAAGGTTGTTATGAAAGCCAAGTCGGGACCAGACGTGGTGGCTCAAGCCTGTAATACCAACATTTTGGGAGGCCGAGGCGGTTGCATCACTTGAGATCAGGAGTTCTAGACCAGCCTGGCCAACGTGGTGAAACCCTGTCTCTACTAAAAATACAAAAATTAGCTGGGCGTGGTGGCGAGTGAGGCTAAGGCAGGAGAATCACTTAAACCCATGAGTTGGAGGTTGCATCAAGCCAAGATTGCACCACTGCACTCCAGCCTGGGTGATGGAGTAGGACTCCATCTCAAGAAAGAAAGAAAGAGAGAGAGAGAGAGAAAGAAAGAAAGGAAGGAAGGAAGGAAGGAAGGAAGGAAGGAAGGAAGGAAGGAAGGAAGGAAGGAAGGAAGGAAGGAAGGAAGGAAGGAAGGAAAGAAAGGGAGAGAGAGAGAGGGAGGGAGGGAGCGAGGGAGGGAGCGAGGGAGGGAGGGAGGGAGGGAGCGATGGAGGGAGGGAGCGATGGAGGGAGGGAGGAAGCGAGGGAGGGAGGAAAGAAAGAAG